TTTAAGAAGTTCAGGTTCATTGAGTCCCCTGGTCTCCCTCTGACAGGAAAATGGCCTTGTCCACAATAAAGGAGGGAGAGAGGGGTCCTCTGGGTGAGAACACAGTGGAGGTTGCACATCTGCCTCAGGCTCTCTCCACCACGGTTGGGTGTTCGTGCTGGTGTGGGCCCAGCTGAATGAATGTGAAGTTTAACAGCTTGCATAGTAATTAAGCAAAGCCTCTCAATATAGCATCACTAATTACACGAGTCCTCCCTAAATTACCAATAGTTCATGGCACCTTGTAAAATCCTTGTGTAATAGCCTTAGAAAAAAAGAAGAAAAGATGATGCTCAGGGCTGGCAGCGGGCCACACAGCCCGCGTGGCGATCGCAAAGCACCCTGGATGCTGATGAGCCTTCTTTAAAAATAAGAATAAAAATCTAAAAGGTACATTTCCCCCAATGACTCTGCTCCGGGGAGTATTAAAAGCAGCACCTTGACTCAGCCTACCACATAAACATCCTGCTGCCCCCGGACAGCCCGATACCGTCTTCCTCCCAGGATGAGGAGCTGAATAAGAAGTGACAATCACAGCTCCTGCCCGCGGGAAAACAGGAAGCGCCGGAGTTGTACAACCACTCCAAACATTGTCCTACCTGCTCCTCTCCTTGGGTGCAATGTGAACTTGCTTTCCTTTCCTTTCGTAACTATTTCTGGTCCAGCACTGGTCAGTCCCAGGATGGTGCTGCACAGGACCAGTCCCTGCAGCCTCTGGCCTCTCCCCACCAGCCTGGTCCTCTTTGTCCAATGCAGAAGGACAAATGTCCCACCTTTCTATCCCACTGCTGGCACTAGCAGCTCAGCAGCAACGCTGGAGGAGGTGGAGATGGGTCCAGGGTGTCCATCACCACCTCACTGCTCAGCTGCCCTCACCCCACAGCTGCCCACATCTGGCCAGAGCTAGACAGAAGAAAATCCCAGATCCTCCCCACCAGGAAGCGGCCAAAAATGGACACTTTCATCCAAGTGTCTTAAAATGACCACGAGACTAAAGGAGCTGATGTTCACAGATGTGCTCCAGTTCATGCATTAAGTGCTAAACCCTGTCCCAAGTAGCCCCTGCCACTAAGATCATCTGGAGGTGGGCGATGGGGTAAGTCCATATCCCGGTTGAAACAAGCTGGGCAGCTGAGCTTCTCCGTGAGCACACAGAGAGGAGCTCAAGGAATGGGGAGATGTGACGGAGAAGAGGCCACCCGCTCCACTTGGAACACCACGGGTTTTATCCACAAATACCCATTCCCACCCTCAACTTTTTGGTTCAATTTCAAGGAATCCCCCCCTCTATTCAGTGCCCAACGTGTCCCCAGGCAGCAGCCCCCCAGCCCTGCTCTCAGGACCATCCTTCCTGAAGGCAAGAGGCTCTTCCCATGTTAAACGATGCTCCAGGAGCGAGGCACCTCCTTCCTCCTCCAGCTGCTCCCACCTTTCTGCTGAGTGATGGGCCCAACCTCGCATGAGGAACGTAGACATCCCATCCCAGCTTCCAAACAAGAAACAGGAGGAGGAGGAGGAGGTTTCCCATCCTTTCGTGGCAGCCTACAAACATCCCTCACCCAACGTTTGCCATCACTTCTCAAAGTTCACATTCCCACAAGCGCAGGCGGGCGCCAGGAGGAACAAGGGGAGGGGGGGACACACACCAGTGCCCGCGGGTCACGGTCACACAAGACAATACTTTGCAAAATTTGGAAGTGTGGGAGGAACGCGGGAAGGCTGAGGACGAGGATGTTTATTAACATGTAAGAATATCTCCAAAGGGTTTGCGTCCTACGAGGGGAAAAATAAAGGGAGGCTGAGGCAAACCAGCTCCAGCCATCAGTGGGGCTAAATCTGGAAATCTGTATTCAGGCAATCCTACTGCTGGCTTAAGGAAAAAAAGCCACTTTTCTCATGTGGCCTTAAGAGTTTTCCTAAATTAAGTGAAGCTCCAAATGAATTCTCTAATTAATACTCTTGTGCAATTGCATTCTGCCCAGGGCAGGGGGGTTGGAACTCGAAGATCTTTGAGGTCCCTTCCAACCCTAACCATTCTATGATTAAGCAGTGGGATGTGAGGGCGCTTCCAACACCTGGCTCAGCCTCTCCTCCCGAAAAGCGCGCTGCCTCCCTCTAGCACCCAGCAGGAAGCCTTTCTTGCCAAGAACTGCAGCCTCAGCCTTGCTCACGGCTTCTAAGCATCCGTGGAAGACGAGCAGGGAAAGCCTGGCAGTCACTTTAAACTTAAAGGGTGTCCACAGACACTTGAGAAAACTTTTCACCACCACAAAAAAAAAAAAAAAACCCCACACAAAAAAACCCAGAAAAAAAAAAAAAAAAAACGAAAAGAAAGAAAGAAAGAAAAAAAGAAAACCTGGAGAAAAACATCACTTGCCCCCAGAAACAGCTGTGACAAAGAAGCAGCAGCTCCCCAAAACCAGCCCCAAGCAGCTCAGGAGCAGTTTTGTCCTGTTTATCAGTGTCCTCCTGATAAAGTTTTGCAAGTGTTGTTTCCTTGCAATGCAGTGCGAAGGTTTGGGTGGGTTTTTTTTCTGCCCCTCAGACAGAGAACACCTCTTTGCTTTCGCCGTGTGACTGTAAAATAAAAATAAAGGCCATTTCTCCCCACCAGTTTCAGCTGCACTTTTTCCCACCAGCGCTGCGGTTGGGACAGTCCCCACTGAAATGTCGTGTTTTAAGGCAGGAAGGCACGTGCTGCCTCCACCTGCGTATCTAAGGGAACTTGCAAAGTTCCTCCTGCCCTTCTATTTCTTAACCTTACTGCAGACCCTTAATAAAGGGAACCTCCTCGTCCTCAGGCCAGGTCCATTGGTGGCCTGATGGGCTCCTGCAGCAGCCCCTGCAGGGCTCTCCTGCCCAGGCCACAGATGCCTAAGAGCAGCTTCGGGGGCTGCAGAGAAGTGCATAAGAAACACTTATTTTGGGGTAATATTTATGCTTTAACTCAGGCACCCTCCTGCCCTAGGACCCGTGGTGCTGGGAGGAGGAAGCACGACACTGCAGCTCCAAGGAAAAATCCGTGTCTTCTGCTGGATTGGGAAGCCAAGGGTGGCCGCTCACCCTTGCCTCTTGCGCACCCTGACCTCAGGCTGCACCCTGCTTCTCCTGGATTTTGGGGGATCAGGGACACGTGCAGTGGTGGCTTGGCTGCAAGACCTGGACCTCCCAGCCTGGGGATTCCACCACCCAGACAAAACACATCCCTCCTGCAGAGAGATGGGAAGCATTTCGCAGCCTTTCCCAGAGTCCCAGCAACTTTCCCAAGGCTCGGAGGAGACACACCAGACTTTAAAAGTTACAAAACTGGCCACGACGGCCGTGAAAGTCGGTTCTTCAAACCGCAGTGGGAAAGGCTTGCCTCCAGCCCAACTCCATCTCCTGGCCCTGGGGCCAGCAGAGGTTCCTCGGGTGCAGAGCACCCTCTGGTGGGAAAACCATGGTTGTCCAAGCAAGAGCAAATCCACCTGCAGCACATCAACAAGAATGGGCTCCGTCAAGACCTCCTGGGAGGTGGGTTTCCACCGCACAGGGTTGTTTCAATGGCAGGCTACCATGCCACACAGCCCTATCTATGTGCCCAGCATGGCTGCTTGCTCCCCCCCCTGCATAGGCACCTTGAACCCCCTTCAAGGCAACCATCCCTTCTCCTTTGGCCACCGTAGCCCCTTGTGGCTGCAGGTTCTTTCAGCCAGACCATGTCCCTGCCCATGGCCTGGCTGCCGGAGGGACGCTGCTGGCACCAGGCGGCAACTCTCACCACAAAAAAGCAATTTGTAAATAATTACACCCTGCTTTTGAAGTCTTTGTAGACCTGATAACCATGGAGCTGGACAGGAACAGGTCACAGTCCCCACGTCACTGCGGTTCCCTTTGCCTTGCTCCTCACAGTTGTCACACTCCTCAGTCAGGCTGTGGCTCTTTGGAGAAGAGAAGGAGCAGCGTGTCCACCCCCCTTTTTGGTACCATGGGGCCTCTGCTCTGCCTGGGGTCTCACAGAAGCAGTCACAAATTTTAAACAGCCCTTGGCAAAAAAAGGGCACAGACAGCAGTTCAGGGCTTCCAGCCCCTGCTTACTCACGGACCCACCACAAGGCACTGGATGTGCCCCATCCCGTCACCTCCTCTGCCCCAGCCTCTACCTTAAAAGAGCCACCAGCGCCACGGAGGCAGGACCCACGGCCCCTGTACTCACTTGTTCGGCCCAGACATTGAGTAAAAGGCAGGTTTTCACAGAATCACACAGAATCTTCATGGTTGGAAGGGACCTTTGAGATCGAGTCCAACCAAAAAAAAAAAAACAAACCAAAAAAACCCCAACCACAGACAGAGGCAAACCAACAATCCCGGGCACTAGAGCATGCCCTGAAGTGCTATGTCTACACGTTTCTTAAATCCCTCCAGGGATAGTGACTCCACCACCTCCCTGGGCAGGCTGTTCCAGTGCCTGACCATCCTCTCAGTAAAGTAATTCTTCCTGATATCTAATCTAAACCTCCCCTTGGCGCAACTTCAGACCATTTCTTCTGGTCCTGTCATTGTTCCCTTGGGAGAAGAGGTCAACACCCACCTCTCTACACCCTCCTTTCAGGTAGTTGTAGAGGGCAATGAGGTCTCCCCTCAGCCTCCTCTTCTCCAAACGAAACATGCCTAGTTCCCTCAGCTTCTCCTCGTCTGACTTGTTCTCTAGACCCCTCACCAGCTTGGTGGCTCTCCTCTGGACACGCTCCAGCACTTTTGCCTCAAAAGTTCCCACTGTAAACACGGAGCAGGAGGCACCTTTTGTGCCTCCGGCCGTTTCCCTGCCCCTGGCCCAGCTACTGCCCAACCAAGTGCTTTAACCCCGCTCTGGGTGTGTTTCTTCTTAAATAAACACGGGAGGTTCCCCAACACCTCCCCGCGGGTCCCCACCTGCCGACGGGACGGCGTCCGGCTCCCAGCGCCGCAGCAGCACCCGGGAAATGCGGTTCCTTCCCCGTCTCCTCATCTCGGCCGCCCTGGCCATCGCCACCTTCCTCAGCTGGAGGTTGCTTCTCCAGAGCCCAGCCACCGGCCGAGAAGGTAAGGCCTGGGCACCACAGAGGTTCTGTGTGGCTGAGCAGAGGTTCTTCTGCGTCTGTACCGTGGGAGGAATGAAGTATAGCTTTTTATTTTTAGGTTCTCGGTGGGATTTGCCACCCAGGGTGTGCAAAAAAACCACATTTACACAGCCCTAGGGGCAGGGTAAGCTGGAGCCCTGCAGCTTGATGTCCTTAGCGAGGTCATTGGTCTCAGGTGTGGTGGGGAAACCCAGGTGTGAGACTGCAGGAGGTAACTCCTAAAACCTTTGCTGGGAAGGGTGAGATGTTGTGGGGGAGGCAGGAGGGAGCAGGGGCACTGGTGATTAATGCCTCTTTTGCCTAAAAAATGCATCCCTCCAGTCCTGGTCAATCCAGGGCAAAACTGCGGTGAGATTTTGCAGAAGTTGTTGGTCCGGGGCTGCTTCAGGAACCAGCTGCGTGTCTTTCTTGTGTTACTTTTCCTCTCGTGGTGAGATTTTGCAGAAGTTGTTGGTCTGGGGCTGAGTGAGTGGAGGAGCAGCACAGGGCTGCTTCAGGAACCGGCTGCGTGTCTTTCTTGTGTTACTTTTCCTCATTTTAACTGCGTTTCTCTTCCCTGGATGAGTGGGAAACGTTTAACTTCCCAAGGACTTGGGAGAAACCATCAAATTCAGTGTCTCCCTAGGGCTGCCAAGTGCCTGCGCTGAGCAGATGAGGCAGACACGTGCCTCTGCCAAAAAAAAAAAAATATATATATAAAAAATAAAATAACCAGGCAGGCATTCATCCTCTGCGTTCAAACCCCTTCACATCAGAAGAAGATAAAAGTAAGAAGCAAAACGGAGATTTGAGAAATTAAACTGACTTTCAGAGACTCTTTTCATTTGCCTTTGCCTTTTATAGCTGCTTTGCTGTCTTCTCGCTTCTATTTGCTTTTTGCTTTGTATTTGCTTTTTCCCTTTTATCTACAGGCGAAAAAATTTACTTATGGAAGTGATGCAAGAAGTTACGTCACTTGGATTGCTAAACCACCCTCAGCCATTAAGAATAACCTCTTGCTTTCACATCTCTCTGAGAACTGATGTTAACCAATTAACCAGATGCAAAAGGGTCTGCAGGGGGGTGTGTATTTGTAGCTACAAACCAATTTACAACCCCCTCCATCTCCCAGACTATTTCTGATGTTCTTTGGTAAGCCCACCTCAGTTAAGCTGGGTCAAAAGTGAGGAGTTAAAAGCAAAAATATTAGGATTTAGTGGAGAACAGGGTCCGCGGCACAAAGCTATGGTCAAGATCAGTGCTCAAAGAGGGCAGTCTGGGGAAAGTGGGTCTGGGTGTCCATGTGCTCACACTCTCAGAGGAACTGAGACCCATTTCGCAGCAAAACCAAGTTCTTCGCCAGGCAGGGCTGGTCTCCCCTCTCCTACCCATCTTCTTGGTTCACCCTACATCCTTTCCACCCTGGAACAACTGGAGAAAAGCTTTGCCACAGCACCCTGTGCTGTGCTGCTCACTCAGGGCAGGGGTCCACTATGGGCTTTCCTCACCCCCATCTCCAAATGGCGTTTCACAGGTGACCTGGTCCCCAAAGCAGAGGAGGGCTTCACTTTGACGGACCCCCTCCATCTCCCAGACTATTCCTGACGCTCTTTGGTAAGCCCACCTCAGTTAAGCTGGGTCAAAAGTGAGGAGTTAAAAGCAAAAATATTAGGATTTAGTGGAGAACAGGGTCCGCGGCACAAAGCTATGGTCAAGATCAGTGCTCAAAGAGGGCAGTCTGGGGAAAGTGGGTCTGGGTGTCCATGTGCTCACACTCTCAGAGGAACTGAGACCCATTTCCCAGCAAAACCAAGTTCTTCGCCAGGCAGGGCTGGTCTCCCCTCTCCTACCCATCTTCTTGGTTCACCCTACATCCTTTCCACCCTGGAACAACTGGAGAAAAGCTTTGCCACAGCACCCTGTGCTGTGCTGCTCACTCAGGGCAGGGGTCCACTATGGGCTTTCCTCACCCCCATCTCCAAATGGTGTTTCACAGGTGACCTGGTCCCCAAGGCGGAGGAGAGCTTCACTTTGACGTTGGACACCTTCCTTCACCTTCAGCAGCTCAGGAAGAAGAGACTGAGAGCTTTCTGTCGCCAGTCAGGCAAAGTCACCACGCTGCCAAGGAGCCGGGAGGAGAGAGCCCACCTCCTTTCGAGCTTGAGGGTAAGCACCAAGCTGGACCTCCTCTACTGCCAAGTGCCCTCAACAGGGACAGAGGAATGGCAGCAGCTTCTGAAGGAACTAGAGGAGAAGAAAAACGTGACGTTGCCGCTTCCCTACCCTCATCAGCACGTTCCAGAGAGGCAGCTGAGTGAGTTCAACCTGACGGAGATCGAGGCCATGTTGGAGTCCTACACCAAAGTGCTGTTTGTCAGGGACCCCTTCCAGAGGCTGATCTCCACCTTCATGCAGGGCATGGGAAGCAGCCCTTCCTTCAGCAGCTTCGTTCAGGACGTTTTAGCCAGTGGACAGCACAACGCCAGCGTGACTTGGAAACCCCTCGTCAGCCTCTGCCGGCCCTGTCTCATCCAGTATGACTACGTGGTGGTATTTGGGTTCCTCAGGCAGGAGCTGAGTCATCTGCTGCGGCGAGCCGGGCTGCCGGCAGACAACCTCCTCCCTGAGTTCACCGACAGCAAGGTGCAGTGGACCTACAGCTGGTTATCGGAGCAGATGTTCAGCGAGCTGTCCCTCCAGCAGAAGCAGCAACTGTCTCATTTCTACCGCTGGGACCTTTCTGCTTTCCCGTTTTCTAGCAGTTTGCTGACGGGCCTCCTCAGCACCCCAAAGACGTGGGAGAAATAACCCAGGCTGGACTCTTTTTTTTTGGAGAGCATTAATCCAAATGCAAAGTTCTTCAAGATACCAGCTGGGTCACGGGCAGACCCTTGTTCCACAGCTTCATGTTGCACTCATCCATGTCACAGCTCCAGAAGGCACATCAGGGAGCTGAGACAGACTTCTGCCAGGTATGGGGTACCAAGGCTCTTCACGTGGCTGAAGAACATTTAAATACTGCAGGAGTGGGTGCTAGAGACACGTGTGGTGTTGGGGCTTGGGAAATGGCATGAATGGAACTGTGATGGGGTAAATGGCTCTCAGCAGACCTAGCGTTTTGGGGGAGGTTGGGTTGGACCCACTGCAAACCACTCTGGCACCCTCACACGTGCTGCCTTTTCATAATCTGGGCTGTCTTTGGAGCCAAGAGGTTTGGCAATGGCTTCTTCGTGACAAACCTCCCCACAAAGACAGAAGAACCCCCCCAAAGCAGCATGCTTCCTGATGTCTGTCCACTCTGCACAAGTAGGTGAGATATGACACAGGCTGGCAGACCCTCACAGGCAACCACCGGTGATGCTTCCAATCCTTCATGCTCCAAGAAGGCCTGGCCCATCTTTTGGTCGTATCTGTTCTGAACGAACTGCTCCTGTTTTACGACCACACATCTCCTAAAGACAGCCCCAGGGATGTGCCATGATGCTTGGCTCCATTTGCAAGTTCTGAGTGAAGTTCCCCCCTTTAGAAGCTGACTCAAATGGCCAAAGTCCAGCTTTCACCCATACTCACGAGTATATGGCGGTCTTGACCAGGTACCAGCAACATCATGCAGCCAGGCAGCCTTCCACCTTGTCCCAGCAGTGAGTGGGCTCAGTAGAGGTGGCTAAAATCATAGAACGGTTTTAGTTGGAAGGAACCTTAAAGATCATCCAGTTCCAACCCCCTGCCATGGGCAGGGACACCTCCCACCAGACCAGGTTGCTCCAAGCCCCATCCAGCCTGGCCTTGAACACCTCCAGGGATGGGGCAGCCACAGCTTCTCTGGGCAACCTGTTCCAGTGTCTCACCACCTTCAGTGTGAAAAATTTCTTCCTGAGATCTCATCTAGATTTCCCCTCTTACAGATTAAAACTGTTCCCCCTCATCCTATGTCTCCCGTCCCTGATCAAGAGTCCCTCCCCATCTCTCCTGTAGCCCCTTTAGGGACTGGAAGGAGCTCTAAGGTCTCCCTGGAGCCTTCTCTTCTCCAGGCTGAACAACCCCAGCTCTCTCAGCCTCTCTTCACAGGAGAGGTGCTCCAGCCCTCTGATCATCCTCGTGGCCCTCCACTGGACCCATTCCAACAGGTCCATGTCCTTCCCGCCTTGAGGACTCCAGAGCTGGACACACTATTCCAGGTGGGGTCTCACCAGAGCAGAGGGGCAGAATTCAGCTCCCTCGACCTGGTGTGTCTGTCTGGTAGCGTGGAGCAACCACCTGTCCTCTCCCAACCTTGGCCACTGAGTCGATCTGCCTCACAGCCTCTGGGAAGGGTCCATCCTTGCCAAACACCAAGGGCGAGCCAAATTGTCCAGCTTTCAAATCATGCGACTTCTACCAAAACACACTAGCTTAGAGAATATTTTTTAGCTTTATTTTGCAATGTTGTGACATTCACAGAGAATTCTGCATCCATTCGTGTGACGGAGATGCCGATTTGACAATGCTCATTAAAGAACAGCAGCGAAAGACATTGATTAGAACTGACCTAAACTATTAACGAAAACTGGGCCTCCCTCTCTCATCAAGGGACATGTGATTAATAGCATTAAGACAGGAGATCAGGTGGCCTCCTTTCACCCTCCCACAAAATATCCAGAAAATATCCAGCTACAGCAAATTTATGCTGTTATTGTGCGTAATACTTCACAGTTTCTACAGCAAATTTATTAACTGAAGTGCTGTTATTGTGCGTAATACTTCACAGTTTAGCAAGATGGCGTAGTTCCTCTTCTGAGGACACAGTTCTCCAAGGACAGAAGCGGCAAATCTCCAATTCTAGATGAAGTTAGGGCCACGCATCCATGCCGGATGTCACTGAAAAGCACTAGGAAGGGAACATTTTTCTCTTCATCAGTAGCTTTGCCTTCTTCAGCCATCGCAAGCTGAAACCCCAAACAGCAAGATGTGCGTGAAGAGACCTGACGCAGCGTCTCGTGGAGCGGGACTGGAGCAGGAGAGCTGTTCTCAGGCAGCTTGGTAGTTCAGATCATGTTTAAAGTCAGGCTACACTATATTAGCAGCATCATCTCCTCCTCCCAGCCCTTCCCTGAGGCGTCTGGCACTTTGTTCCATGGGAGAGCAATGTATGAAATGTTAAGGCACAGAGGGGTGAAATGAAAATCTCAGCTTCATGTTCCTCAGGCTCCCTGTCCCAGGTATTATCACAGAATGGTTTGGTTTGGAAGGGACCTTAAAGATCATGGAGTTCCAACCCCCTGCCATGGGCAGGGACACCTCCCACTAGACCAGGTTGCTCAAAGCCCCATCCAACCTGGCCTTGAAAATGAGATGTTGATCTCTCTGTAAATTCCTGTCAGTCTCTAAGCTTCCTTTTTTTCCCTACACCCTCAAAACCAGTTTCTGTAATTACTTTGTAACCCAAATTTTATTCCCTATGCCCTCCAAACCAGCTTCTGTAATTACTTTGTAACCCAAATTTTACACCCTCATTACTCCCTCCTGTTCCCCTCAGGTGTTTGATATCATCTACGTTCAATTCCAGTGTACCCCCCGCCCCCCGCCCAGAGGAAGATGTTTCCTCCTTCCATGAGCCAGTGGCTGTGCAAGGGGAATAAGAGGGCTCTGAACTGGGGTGAGGTGGGCTTGAGGGCAAGGGCTGGTACCTGGGGAACACTGGATCCCTGATGCTGCAGCAAAAATGGCTCCACAGGCTAAGGTCTGCACTGAACCAGCCTGCTCTGACCACTGCAGATACACACAACTTGGCAAGGACACATCAAATTAATGTACAAAGCAAATAACAAAAGAGAGACTTGACAAACTTAGTTTAAAAACACTTCACCTGGCCAGGCAGTCACAGGCTCTCTGAGGCACCGCAAACCCGTTCTGAAATGATGAAAAAGGTGCTCCCAGAAGCACAGGGGATAAAGAGCATTTGCTCATCCCGTCACCGGCATCCCCTCATGTCCCAGGGCTCTCAGAGGGAGAAGCCCCTTGTGAATGCTGGTGGAAAAAGGTGCTCCCAGAAGGACAGGGGATAAAGAGCATTTGCTCATCCCGTCACCGGCATCCCCTCATGTCCCAGGGCTCTCAGAGGGAGCAGCCTCTTGTGAACGCTGGTGGCATTCCCCTGAGACGATGCTGAGAGCTCCTTGGTATCACGCTCTCCACCCACAGCTCCCCGTGTTCCCTAATAACACCCGTGGTGTTCCCTAATAACACCCGTGGTGTTCCCTTTGCATGTCTCAGCCTGGCTTGAATGAGCGTGTCCGGTGATCCCATGAGGCCGAATCCCACAGGAACAGTGCTGACACCCATCCACCTTACTTTGTATTTTGTATCCCTTTCTCCACATTCAAAAACAGGAATACACAGGCTCCAACAGCTGTCCTTGCACACAAATAATCACATTTTCTTCTCTAAGAGATTTTTTTTACGCATTGCCAGCTTCCAGGAGAAAACAAAAATGTGTTGTTGCCAGTACCTCAGAGCTTCAGAAACACCAATATCATATTTCAATTAATGAAACAATTACACAGCAAGCCCAGCAGGCACAAAATACTCTCTGCAACTCACGTATACAAATGCCCTTTTTCCAGCTGGTAGAACTACAGCATTTTAAGCTGAGGAATAAATCTACACATTTCCAAACTATATGCCCTGGAGTGCTTTAAAAAATATTTCAAACTGTGCGTACATTGTTAAGTCCTAAGATGGAGGCCGATTTTAAGCAGGATGCACGTGAGCAAAATTTTATATAAGGCAATGGAGTTACATCCTCTTGCACCATTTTTTTTTTTGATGGCCCTAGGAGTGCAGAAACAGAAAAAGGACATTTTCATGAAGCTGTGGGCCAGAGAAATAGATAAAAGTTTGCACATGATGAGCAGGTACAGTATGTGGCTGCCATCATCTACAGATAACACGATGCTACAGCTGTTAAAACTGACAGTGACAGAACCCATGAAGAAGGATGCCCAGCGTTAAATCCAACACGAAAAATGCATTGAACTCAAAAGGCATGAGGTCATCACACAGTCAGCACGTTTTTCAGACAAGCAGTCCCTGTAGCAAAACGTACCCATTCTCTTACATTCAGCAAAACTAAGAGTTGACTTGAAAAGAAGGTTGGGCCGTAGCAAGGGATTGACCCCAGAGGGCACCCAGAGCTCACTAATCCCCCGCTGTGTCTGTCCCAGCCTCATCCCATGCCTGGGCTGGTATAAATTGCCTCAGGAACAAAGAGGAGTAACTTCCTCCATTACTCCAAGGTCGTTTCTCAGATGTCCTCTCCTATTTAAAAGATTGAGGAAAGATGCGGAGGTACAGAGATAAAAAGGTTGAGCACGTCAAATGAATCGGCATCTTGCTGGAAGTCCTTTTGGTATCTCTAGTTTTTGTCTTTAATCAGAAAAGACAAGGTGTCATGGGAACTAATTCATTAAAGCCCCAGTGTTGACAAAGCAATCCTCATTTTACTTAGGAAAAATCAGCTATTGGTCACATTTTAGTGTTTTCCTCCGAATTGCTTTTGTTACGTAGGTAAGACCATCATCATTAGCTAACATCAAAATTCCTCTCCATCTTCCTCTAGTGCACACCCTGCTTTGTGTGCAGAGGGGACACAACAGGGTCCAGCCCTCAGTGCCTCTCATGCCTTCCCCCATCTCAGCTAGAGGACTGCTTGGGTTCAATGCATTTAGGTGTTTCTTGGCAGAGCATCACAAGGTGATCCATCTTTTCCCCACAGTAGGAAGAAAAACAACCACCAACCACTCTGCCATTTCACATTGGCCGGTGATAAGCATGTCTCCCATCCTTGCAGCAATTTTAAATGAAACGTGTAGGATTTTTCAATTACACCTTGATAACATCACCTTCCGCTTACTCTTCATTTGAATTTGCATCACAGCTATAATCTGGCAGCAATTCCCTCTCCTAGAGAAAACAATGATTGGACAATTAAATGTGAAAGCTCCATGAATCAGTGGATGAGCCACATGAACACAGATATTATTGTTTTTTCCATTATAGTCCTACTGCCTTATGGTCCCTCTGTTGTAAGGTCAGTTTCATGAGGAGATTTTGCTCCTCAGACTTCACTTTCACACACGCACACACCATGGCTTAAAGGTGCCTGGCTCAGCAGAAGGGCACTGTAAAGAGAAAAATAATAGAAAAAAAATTAGCAACAGCAGCAACAAATGAGGGTCCTGGCCTGGGTTTGGCACAGCCCACTCTGCTCCCATTGAGGTAGGCGACTTTGTACTGTTGAAGGTCCAAGCTCATGTCCCAGTCTTTCAAAACACAGAGATGTCTCTCTCATGGCACTTCTATTAGGGGCTGTGCCTGGCTCTGGGTGAAGGCCCAATGATCAACACTTTGTGCAAGTTCTCAAAGCCATTTCTGAGCTCCTCTCCCCAAAGAGCGATGAAAGCATTGGGTGAGAAGGACTAAGATACCCAGGTTTTGCTGTTAACCACAGTGGGGTTTAAACCAATGAAAACACAGTTGTGTTTTCAGAGCCAGAGGAATCAGCAGGGCTCTGCGCAGGGACCCACTCCTCTGCAGCCCTTTTACACACTGACAGAGGAGGTGACAGTGACAGGGTTAAATCCTGCACTTCATGTCCTGCCCACAGCCTCTAAGGAGGCTCCTGTGATCACAACATTCAGCAGAAGTGAGCGCCCTCAGGAATACTTTCCTCTCCCTCCCTCCTTGAGAGACACTCTTAAACCACAGAGTGGAACTGCAAGATACATTAGTGGTGGTGATCCCCTAAGAGATGATGGTCAGGAGGATCAGGACAAGAAGTCAGTACACTTGTTCTACAAACAGCACCTGGAGGATGGAGGGATGAACCGCAGCTTCAGTCGTACTTTATGGCAGCCCTTCCTACAATGGGAGCCCTGGGAATGCTGG